AGATTTATTTGATGACAAGAATCATGATTGACATTAATTCTATACATTGATTTAAAAGTATTAGGTCGTGTTTGATTTATGTGGGCTTCAACTTCCCGCCATAAACGACGCGCCAGTGAGGCAGTGTATATTATTTAGATTTGATGGAAATTTGTTTAAATTGATATCAGGATAATAAATAGGTCAAAGCAAAGCTTTTGCTCCCAGTAGTCAGTCAGGTTGAATCATGACTTCATTGACCATACTAAAGGAAAATTTGACTTGAGAAACTTTTTTAGTGGAGCTCTCACGCGTGCGCGCAAATGGAGCACAGTTGGTAACAAATTTGGTTACCTGGGCTGAGTTGCTCAAAGCATGGTTAGCTTTAACCAGGGGCACCCAACGAGAATATAGTTCAAAACCACTTAAACATAGAATTGTTAAACGTATTTTAGTATTTAAACGGTAGATATAGGCATATTTTTATCCCCTAAAAATTTTTCATCTGTTCGGATTTCCTAGCTGAAAGTTAAGTGATCCGAAAATTATAGGGATCAAAACTTACCTTTTCGAAAATTTCAGCCACCAAAAAGGCTCCCGAAAACTCTAGGTGACCTTTTTAAGGTAAAAATCCGTTAAAAATAGGCAATTATACCATTTTTTAGAGGTTCGAAAATCCTAGGAGAGGCAGGCAAGCAAGAAATTTTACAACAAATGTTCCGAAAATTCTAGATGTCAAATCGTCTTCCGAACAGATATTTTTCCGAAAATTGTCGTTGGGTGCCCCTGTTTAACCATTGGTTAAGCAGTATAAAAACCGATACGTTGTCAAAGTATTAAACGCTGGTTAACGCTAACCATTCTTCGAGCAACTGGGCCCTGGTCGCTATTCCATTCAAGCAAAACGTCTGGTTTAAATTCTTGGGCAACTTTCAGTACCGAATGGAACAGCATTCTCGCGATGTACCGTATTTATTCGATTAACCGCCCTGGGCGCTTATTAAATTTTTGGTCCTTGAGAGTGGGCACTTATTAGAGGTGGGCGCTAATTCGAGGTTGGGCGTATACCCAAATTTTCGAAAATTATTTTCGGGAACTTTTCTTTCAGCATTCAACTTTGCTCCCGAAGTCTAAAATTTCTGGTTGAATGGTTCGCATTTCGGAAAAAGTTTCCGAAAGTCTGGGAACTTTTCCGGGAAAATACTGTACCAATTGCCGCTGTTTCCAAAGTTTTGTTGGTTGAATGGAAAGCGCACAAAATGCATCCTAGAAATTTTGGCTCTGAGAGAATCGTCCGCACGTACTACGTACGATGTTCAAGAAAGTGTGCTGCACGTGCAAATTAGACCTATTGACCTTAGCATTACCTACAACTAGCGGCTAGGAGCGATTTGGATGGGTGTTTAGCGCGTATGATAAGATTACACTGACATTTACTATGAATAAGACATTTGCATCTTAATAGCGAAATAAGCGAACAGGGACAGGGCCTGCAAGCTTACGCGGTTCACCTCTAACCAAACTTCTCTTCACGTGTCTCCCTTTTCCCTTATGAAGGTCCTCTGCTCACGTTTTTTTTTTCTTTTTCCAATTTTTTTTTTTTTTGACTATTATTTTTAAAAACTGGTCGCCGTTTTCTAGGTCATCGTTTTGTAAGTCATCGTTTTGTAGGTCGTCGTTTTCTAGGTCATCGTTTTCTAGACACCCTTTCAGGATTGCTTGACTTGTCTTAATCGACATATGATCGTTTCGATTAGCTAGAATCTTTCGACTTAGTGAAATTTACCGAGAATATGGGACTGCCGGTCATTTAGTGTTTTTAACAGCTTGACCGGTTACTGGACATATAGCCACAGCGTTTCATTTTCGCTGCGGGCAAGCCAAGTTGAGCCAATCACACTTTTACGTATACTCTATACATTTTCTAAAAGTTCGACACTTCCCTGGCCACCCTCGTAGACCCAGGGGCAGATAGTGAGGGCGAGGGAAAGTCTAAACGGGCGGAAAAATATGGCACGAAGAAAAGTAAACAACGGCGAGAAGAGCCCCTGGGGACAATGTCTTACCAGACCAGTTCCAAACGGTCGCCGCCGTTCTCGCTTCTGATTGGTGCCAGAAAACTTTTGTGTTTTTCTGCCCAATCAGAAGCCAGAACGGCGGCGACCATTTGGAACTGGTCTGGTAAGACATTGTCCGCAGGGGATCTTCTCGCCGTTCTTTACTTTTCTTCGCGCCATATTTTTCCGCCTGTTTAGACTTTCCCTCGCGCTCCCACTATCTGCCCCTGGGTCTCCGAGGATGTTCCCCGGCAAAATTGACAACATACCGCTTCCTCGAGTTTTTTCTTGAAGCTTCTCTCCCTCTACAATAGAATTTCAAAAAAGTCCAGTTCGTCCGATTACTACTTCCAAGCGCCCGCTACGCAGGCTATCAAATTGCGTGATTAGCTTGGCTCAACAGCGCCATGCGTGTCAAGTATGACAGGACTTGTCAACGATCAATTAAAATAATTAGCACAGAAAAAACTTTTTCGCTCCAAAAGTTTGCAAAAAAAAAACATTTTTTTCCTGTAATTTTTTTTCAAAGAGTGCAATTAGGAAAAATCCTCAGAATTACAAGGACACAGGGCGAAAACAAGCACGGTGACCCTATCTTTTTATTGCAGTTTTGGAATGTCCTGTATATGGCTGACATTTGTATCAAGTTTGAAAAAAAAAAACAGCCTGAGGATAGTACATCATTTTCAAGTGAATTAACTTAAAATAGGGACACCACATTATGTGGTAGCTTGCGAACTGCAGACATATTTCCGGTCGTCGCTTCTCTCCCTCCGAAATAATAATAATACGACCGGAAATACGTCTTCAGTTCGCACGGGCTACTTATGTGGACACCAATGGGTCCCCTGGTGTCCGCATTAACGGGGTTTGAGCCTATTCCACGCTCTCAAATAATCCCCCAAGCAAAGAATTTGTTCCTCAGTTTATATTGAGCTTTAAATGAAGTCTATTTGACTCTTAACGTTTTCTATAAACTTTCGCAACAAATTTTTGAACTGCATTTTTAAAAATGTCAATTGTTGTGTTTCTTTAAAATATGGATCTCATTATTTGAGTATCAATTCAATCCTGCGAGGATTCATTTGCAGCACTATAGTGGGGTCTGTGGGCATGTTCCCCCAAAAAGTTTGGAAATTTAGAGCGTCTAAAATCGCTGGAAAAGCGTTTATTTCTATCAATCCTAAGATAATTTTATCATTTCTTTATTACCATTGTGTTAGTTTTCTTCGCAAAAGGGGACATTAAATATGAAAATTTTGTTTGCTTTTAACACAAAGATCAGGGTCGGCTAGTGGGGGTAGTGGTATACCAGTATGCCCGAAAAAAATTCGCAAAAATACCCAAAAATACCCAAAATTCTTCCAAATATACCCAAAATTATACCCAGGTATACTTAATACCTGAAATTCAAAGAAAGTGATATTAATACCGAATACCCGTATTTAAGCTGCAATATACCGTATACCCGATTTAAAAAGCCCCTGTATACCGTATACCCCAAAACCCTGGCCTACCCTGAAAGATAACTGAAAAGTAATTTAATTTTATAAATGCCAACAAAAATATTAATATAAAATGAAAAAAAAAATCCTGGCGAAATTATTGTGACGATATAGCCCAACCAGCCCAATAGCTCTGCGGTCCCTGGTGTGGCCGTTTCACACAGGCTTGCTGTCATTACTTATTATTTCTTTTTTCATTTATCTTTTTAAGCTAAAAGCAATAAAATATCTCAACGGCAGTTAATTCCATGCATCAATGTATATAGAAGGGAACCCTGAGGAAATTTTTGGTTTTCTTAATGTTGTAATCAAAACTTTCAAACCGACAAATTGACTCTGTCTCCATTTAAGTGTATGTTTTTTAGTCCTTTTTCGTTAAGCTAATTTAGAGACTTATACACTATTTAAACATATCCCCTATTTGTTTCTTACAGCTCTGAGAATGGCGTCATAGTTAGACGCTAAAATGACGGCTATTTCCATGTTTCTCATTATAGTTTCCATTTAACAAATTTCTTCTCATCAAAAAACTCCATTTTTAAAACCCTATTTTATCACTAGCATCATGATCCCCGTGTCTAACTCCTGGTTAAAGAAACTCTTCGTGACATTTTCTTTGTTTATTACTGCAGTCGTCCTCTGTACCTTAAAACACATCCTTATTATGCACAAGTCATAATCAGGAACTTTCATCTAAAGAAAATCTTCCGTTTCAGTCGACAAGAAATGCAATCCAACTCGTCCAAGTGGACGAGCAGCTAATGATATTGATTACAAGCGCGCCGTTTTATACAAGCAGAAAACTAGCCATGCGACAGACGTGGCTTGTCAAAAAAATTATATGAAAATAGAACAGGAAATTTCATAAATTATCATACACAAACTGTGTTAAAACAGTTAAGAGCGGTTTTCTGTAAGAACCGACTAAGGGTATGCAAGATAGAAAAATCCGATTTTCCTTGGTGAACTGTTTCTAAAAATATAACTCTCGGATCGTTTGGGGTTTTATTTATTTTTTACCCAATAATTCTACCTAAAGGATTACCCCTTTCTTGCTTATTTTACGCAGATGATTTAGTTAAAGCAAAATATCCTCAATATTGCAACAAATGGTTACTAAAAATAGATCGTAAAATAACAAAAGTACTCATATTCCAAAGACAAAACCGTAAATCAACACGAGATAAATAAACCTTCTTCCTAAATGGGAATCAAATCGCGAATGTCACAGAATACTCTTATCTGGGCATAGCATTTAATTCAATTGGAAGTTTCTCAATTTCCAAACAAGACTGCAGAGAAAACAAGAAGGTAAATATTTGGTGCACCTCCAGTGGCTATATGCAATAAACTTTTTGATGCCCTATTTCTTCCTATATCACTATACAGTTTTGAGGTATGGGGTAGTTATGATAGAACTGATGCTAAGAAATGGGAAAAGAACCCAAGAAAAAAATTCGCACGCAATTTTACAAACATTTTATTGGCCTAAATAATAGAGCAACAAATATTATATCTCGTAATGAAGCAGGAAGTCTATCACTTAAATCTCACATTAATATAAACGTTATAAAATTTTGGTTGCATCTTGTTTGTCTACCTGATTCTAGTATTGCAAAGCAATGCCTTTTACTTTCAAGTTAAATTTTCACGAAATCATGAAGCTACGCTGTAGCCGGCGCTAGTATTCTTGTAGAGTCAAAATTGGTCAGTTAACTCGAAGCTGCCGAAAATAAAACTGGCAAGCATAATCACAGATTACTTCAAAAAGGATCAAATGAACATGTTGCGATTTTACAAAAAATTGAATTTCTATTCCACTTTTAAGACTGATGTCAGTAGATCAGAATATTTAGACCTTACTACGTCAGTTGATGGTATTATACTCTGATTGTTGATCTGATTGGTCAATTACGTCGCAATGTTATTGGTCGTCTGTCAGTTAAGCCGTGATGTTATTGGTTATGAAGACTCGTAATCAGTAATTGGTGCGTTTCGATCCGTCTATTGTCACAGTAAAACAGTCGTCTATTGTTAGTCAAATTGTCAGTTCTCCAGTCGTTCTCTCGTAGTTAATTTTGCTTGATCTCGTCAATAAGTCGTTTGTACGGCGCTGGTAACTGTTGGCTACAATTCAGTGGCGTTTGTTCTAAGTTAGTAAACCAGCTTTCTAAAGTAAGACGTTGATAGTAGTCTGTAGAATACGTTATACATGCCGCAGAGTCCCAGTCAATTTGATGTTTCGTCTGTAAATGGTGCTCAGCAATGTGATTGTTGACGTCACCACTCTTCTTTGCTCGTTTGTGTTCGGTCAGTCGTGTGCTAAGGTTTCTGCCGGTTTCACCAATGTAAGAACCTGGCAGCCGCGGCATTTGATCTTGTATACTATCAACGTCTTATTTGGATCAATATTGTTGGAAAGAAATACAACTTGTTCCGATTTTTTCAAGTCTACGAATTTGGAGTACTTGGCTTCCACGTCTTGAAAAAAGTGTTGTCTTAAATTTTAATATAAATTGCATTCGAATAGAAAATTAATTTCATTCTCTACTCTATTCGACGAGCAAAGCTGACACATCCTACGATTCTCAGGGATTTTAGGAAGATGGTATCTATCAGTTCCAATTCTTAACTTGTAATTACTTGATCGTAATTTTGCTACTGCTTGGCGATGTTTTTCATTTTCAGTGATACAACTCACTTTGACTCTGAAGATGCCTACCGCACCGGTTGTCGATATGTCAGTCACTGTCAACAACAGTCCTATTCAGGACTAGGTTCACCCGGGCGATCAAACTCAACCTACTTTTGAACGTTGTTACCGTTGTTGTCAATATATCTGAATCACTTAGCCAAGCTGCCAAGCCTCTTATTAAGCTCAGTCAGTTCTTTCGCGTGGCGATCAACCATTTCTTTCAATAGACTGATGTTTTCTTGTATATTTTTTGGTAATTTGTCGAGTCTGGTTGCTTCATCTGTGACGTCCTTTGCTTCATCATGGTACCTGTCAGCTCTTTCTTCTTCGTTGTTTTCCAAATAGTGTTTTTTCAGGTATTCCACGATCAAATCTTTCAATGTCTCATTTCGTTTCTGTATATGGGTTGCCTAAAAATTATATGAATTAGCAGTCGGTCACTCTGATATAAATTCCTCGTAGTTTAAATCAATTATATAGCTGCTATTTCCAATTTCTAACGATTAGCTGTAATAAAATCTAATAACTGTGACGGTCACGTCCAGGAAAGTAACTACTGGAAAATATAAAATGGGATGGCGACGCCTTTTTCCCTTTCGTAAACGGTCGTTGCCATTTTTAACGGTCGATGCCACCATTGGTAACCAAGCCTTTTGTCATGATAGATGTAATATATTCTCTGGATTAAGGGTACAATAAGACAAATGATACGTTTTTCAATAGTTTTAGAAAGAGCGACTTTGAAGCCCAAGTTAAATTTACGTCAAAAGCAAGAGAGCCATGGAAAGGGCTAGGGTCATCTCACCTGTTATTCACTTAAGGGAGAAAGATTGGAATAAGAAAGGTCCCGGTTCGACTCTGAGTTGCCATCGTCTCTCTTTTTAAGAGGACCACTCTCAATAACAGATCAAAAATTTTGAAGTGTCTTAAAAAAAGTAGCTACCCTTCACGACAGGGAAGTTTGCGGTGGCGTGATGCCAGACAAAAGATACTAAGGGACGGACCATTAGAAAACTTATGGGGGGGGGGTGGGCGAAGTACAAAAAAAAAAAAAAATTCGCGCAAGGGAAAAGAAAATTAAATGAAAAAAATTCTTGCACGCCAAGTAACCCTAAAAAATATTCATGCTATGGCCTAAAAAAAAATTCATACAAGGAATTTGATAATGAAAAAAAATTCCTGCGGCTCGAAAATTCCCCCCCATAACTTTTCTAATGGTCCGTCCCTAAGTTCAGGTTTTGTATTATTTTTCCTCATATAAACCTAACTGGAATGGTTGACTATTTTACTGACCATTTTCATTTCATTAATAACTAAGCAAAACAGGTCACATGACATTGTTTATTTTTCATTTTTTCTTAATAAAATAACTTTTTTTTCCATTCAGCAGCGGAAATACTTAAAAAGGTAAACCAAATCTAACATTTGGTTCGGTTTTAGTCTTAGTTGACATTCCTCCCCCACATGGAATTTGTTTTTTGAACATCAATAAAACGCCACGATTCAGGTGAAAGCATCAGTTCAATCCTAGTCAAGTAAACTCATCAAAATAAAGTTTCCTCGAATAAATTTTAATGATTTTATCATTATATAAAATGTATGGTTTCTAAAGAAAAAAAGTTTAAACCTCATGGGTGGGGTCCATAACAAAAAGTGAGCCACGCCTAAACATGCTTGAGATATTTCACTAGATAAACCGCTTCAGAGTCGAGACGAAAACTGAAGCAAATCAAGTTTTGAACACAACAATGCAATCTATAGGTACCTTTACACGATCTCCCTGGCTATTTCTCTCCTCATTTTGCTACAAAAGACAAAAAAATTATTAATGAAACTGTAACTGGCAGTCTAGTCATTACCCAGTAAAGGTTGTAACAACAGGTAGTGACTAAAAGAAACGTTCAAGCTAGATTTTTGTCTTAAGACGTACAAAGGCACATACTGTGACTAAATCAGGGTGGACGCCAAAATCGAAGGGAATTCGGGTCAAAGCCGATGCTATAAGACAGTCCATGGACAGCCCTAAAACGGTGGATGGATGGCCAGAAGTTGTCAAAAGCAAGGAATAGGAACGGTAAGTTTTGATTACATTTTGAGGTTAAAAATCAGTGTAAAGTAGAGTCAACGAAAGTTTCCCTTGGCCTGTACCAGGTGAGTAATTCCCCTGCGCAATAATTTTAATAGTGGATTAATCTAGTTAGTGGATATCGAAAACTGAGAGTATTTAATTTATGTATCCAGCCTATATAGGGTATCAATATGGAATTTTAAAATCAAACCTGGTTAAAACATGGGCATTTCTCAACTGAGATTCTCAAACACCAGCCAAAAAACTTAAACAGCCCAAAAAGAGTGTAGTAGATTAGGTTTAAAGGCGCTGGTATCGTGCTTCCTTTGTCAATCCACTCCAGCCACATCCGTGTTCTTGAAAACTTCCATTCAACATCTGCATTGTCCTACATAAGGAAATGATGATATGTGAAGCATCGTGTTTTTTCCAACCTCCCCTTTCCTCTCCATATATAAGGCTTCTGTAATTCTTTTAATGACAGAAGCTTCTGCACTGAGTATCAGCTAGTTTCTAGAATTGAGGTCTGGATTTTGAGACACATTCACTAAGCTCCACGTAAACACACTATTTGCCGATGACAAATCTATCTATTTCCATTGGTGTGTTAGTTAAAATAATTAGCTAGATTTTCAAATAAATGAAGAACGACCCTGAGAAATCATTTCATTTGTTTATGAAATCATTTTTGCTTTTACCATATGTGGCAAGACCTCTCTTACATAAGCCATATTAGTATGTGCCGGCCCAAAGAGTATGGGTATTGCGCCATTTCGGTCTAAAAAGGGAGCATACATTTTGCCCATTTTGGTCTGGAATCGGGTATAGTTTTTCAGTGACGGAACTACGGCAGTGTATGAAAGTATTTGTCGTTTCAATTCCAAGTGCATAAGAAAGAAAAAGTAATATACGAATTGTAAGTGGTTTAAGAAATTTTTTATTTGGCATTCTAATCTAAGTAATGATGACATAATTTCTTAGAGACCAGGTCTCAAAACGGGTGTGAAAATGACATTTTTTGGTCTGAAATAGGGTCAGGATTGGGAGAACCGGGCGGCACACCCCCACCAAGAATTCCCAGGAGTACCCCGGGTTTCCCAGGTATGTGGAATTGAAGCTTGCCATTAAATCATATGCGGGTTTCTGCTGTGCTCTTTAATAATCCATTTTCACGATGGCGCCATTCTACTACTTCTACCAGAATCCTTCAGGGTATTGCTTTCTTGTGCAAATTAAGGATTTTGTTATTTAAACCTCAATGGGACTGAACTTTGTCTCTTCCTAAATTATGCGCACACATACACATGAATAAGACGAAATTTGAAAGAAACAGTTTCTTTTGCGTATTATCAAATGACCTGCATTGGGAAAACAAAACATGCATACAAGCTAAAGAGACGTCATCGTGCAAATGACGCATTATTTCTGCATAGGGTTGTAACATGTCTAAACAGAGTTATCTTTTAGCATTTGGGGTTGAACAAAACAACGACTCTCTCACCATGATCTTCTCGAATGAGTTGTTCATCATGGCAATCAGCATGTTCAAGGCTACAATCACAGTACATATCACATACGCCATCAAAAACAGACGACCAAAGGCAGACGTAAGACGAAAGCTAGGATCCTTGACAGCGATATCACCTTCTTCAACGAGACCCAGCAGCAACCAAAACATGGCCAATAGGGAATTGGGGTGGCTGGGAATGAAACGAGAAATGGAAAGGTCAAATCCTATTGATACGAGCATGCACTAACGGGAGGGTATCCGTATTAATGAGAGGTGTCGTTACCAAACGGGTCTTGTTATTTATCATAATTAAACATACACGTATGTTGAAACAGAATACAGTGAAACCTCTATTAAGCGGACCCCTACTGGACCTGCCCAAGTGTCCGCTTATAGAGGGTGTCCGCTTAATAGAGGTTTGTAAAAATTGCGCAATGTTTGACATGCTATCACTTGACGGCTATAATATACCTTTGGAAAAACTGACACATTTATGATTTGAGAAAGAACAGTGTACGTATTAATGAATTTGACTGTCTTTAAGACTCTCCGGTTTCCTTAAATATCTATACTTAATTGTAACAACAACGTCACGCCTTTTAAAAAGCTCGCTTAATAAGCGGTCGACATACACAAGGTTTAAATGTGTACATACTTGTCATATGGATGGGAATCTTGTGGGTCGCTTGTCATGTTCTGCTTCTGTAACTCTATCTGTGAGGTGACATAGAAGGAATACACCTTCACAACGCCGGTCGCGAACGATAGATAAAGCAAGAGGTAAATAAAAAGAAATCGACCCACATCTTTAAGCATCTTGTAGAGGGACAACTGCAGAGGACCCAAAACAGAGTCTATCTGGAAAATTTGGGACCAGACACAATGAGTATAAGATATAAATTTTGCCAAGGCTAAAAGCGGCGCCCCTTGTTAATACTAACAGGTTACTTGACATACTAAACCTTAAAATCATGCTTATAATTAATTATACAATTTGGTAACGTTCATTAAGCTAGGTGTTTCGATACAGATTTTCGGGGACCATACCGATGTTTTTCAATCGTTTTAAAAGTAAATTTTGTCCTTGCCAGATCGCTACAAAATCTTCACCAGTGATTGACTTTGAATAGAAGTTTATTAAAATGCGGTTTTTATTAAATCGATATCACTATGACAACAATAAACAAAAAACTTTGAAATCGAATTATATCCGAATTTAACGCGAAAGTGTGGTGTTAAGCAAATAAACTCTGTAAAAAGTAAAAAATTTTGTATGTTTGAATTCAAACAAAACGTAAATGTATTTCAAACCTTATATTTTCAATAATCGTGATAAAATGTTTAATAAAAGGGTTCTAAATAACTCACATTAAACCTACCTAAGCAGCGTCAAAAGGCAGCTTAACGTCATAATTCGATGCAAGGAAAGTTTGGTGTATTTTTTTTCTTGCAATCCTGAAAACTAACCTGTTTTCACACCACCTGTCTAGGATCAACTTTACTCTACATTTTGATTTTTAGCGCTTTTATGAGTATCTCTAGAACGGCTCGACAAAATTCTTTTTAAACCTCATCCCATAACCTTATTCATGATGTATATAATATAAGATAGTACGCGCACTCTGATTGGCCGAGAGGAGTGTTTGCATGAGAGTATGTGAACATGGTTGTGACGTCAAGATGTTTTGCTTGTCGTGTGCTAATCACGCAAGCACGAATTTGAAAGAGTTTTTGAGTTCAAAACTCGACAGGTTTACTTTATTTACCCATTCCTTCGTGGGCTGAAACTTGGAAAATCTTTACAAACAAGCTGTATCAATTTTTTTCCCCTTAAGCTGACATTTTAAGTGACAAAAATCCGTATTTTGGAAAGCATCCTTTTGCAAAACAAGAACTGATCATGCGAGGCAGACTTCGAGTACAAGATTTTGTGACTGGTAAGAATTTCTCTTTTAATCAGGGCCATAACAGAGAGTTTTGCGTTTTTCTCGGGAAAGTTATTTCATAAACCAATAGAAAACTTTTTTCCTGTGTTTGAACAGCCTGAACACTCGAACCCCTCTCGCGTTTATATCAGGCTATGCAAACACTGAAAACGTTTTTTATTGCTTAAACTATTTCATGTCGTCTGTGTCAACGGATGGCAAGGATGGACATGAATTTAAACTTGAAAAAGTTGGGCCATTATTTTCAAGGTTTAATGCTATATCTGCAAAATCACCAAAAAATATTATGATTAGTGCTCCTTGATGACATTTGTTTGAAATCTTCTACATAGCTCTACGGGAGCATTTTCTATAAGGGTATTTAAAGCGTTAAGTAATGACTTCAGCACAGAACTTGACCCAAAACAGCAAAATGTTCGTAACAATTAGCCTCTTTCAATTTGTTAACTTACCTGGAAAATGTGCGTTAAGTGAAAGAAGGCCACCACCGTGGCACTTGCATACAACACATCGGCTATTACAAAAACTTCTTTCCGTGGATCCCATTTTCCAAAACGCCCCCAAGAGATCAACCACATTACATAACTCAAAAAAAAGGTAAAGATGATAATCATGTCCACAATATTCCACCATTTTGACATATAAACGTAGGATCCCTGTTTTTTTGCCTCTAAGAATTCCTGCATCAGAAAACCCAAGGCAAAGAAAAATATCACGTAATCTGAAAAGAAACGAGAAATTCATAATGACTGGTCAGCATTGGTTTGATTCAAGTAAATTTCAAGCTTTTCCCGCTGAATAGGCAGGTTTGGTAGGGAGCATACGGTGGACTAAGTGTAGTGTCTTTACGGATTTAACCAAGAATTGATTAAGATTTAACCACTAACACACACCATTGCTAACTCGTGCACACATGTGTATTCTAATCATCATAACAGTCACAGCGCATGCTCGATGATACAAACATGGGGGGTGGGGACGATAGACCTAAATATTTACATATCCTACAGTAAGCGTAACTGTTCAAAGAAGACGATATCTTTAAAGAGGCTGTGTCACGGTCGTCATGTTAATTTTTTTTTTTTTTTGCAGTATTGCCAGTTAGGCGTTCTTAGTTTCTATGGAACTCAGCGTTAGTGCAGAAACTACTCCTAAATATGAAAACATAGCTTCGTACAAACAAATGTACGTAAATGCGTCTCCCAAACCTTATATACAACATCAAGAGAGAATGAGCTAAGAGAGCGAGTTCCAGTGCCCCATGATAATTATTTGACATATGTTTGAAGTTCGCGCTTGTGATGTGAAGGTTATTTTTGTTTGTTGTTTCCGTAACCCGCGTGGTCTACTTTCTGACGTGAACGTGACATGTTTCGCCTCCAAACATTTGAAGTTTAACTGCCGTTATAGTAATTAGCAAGCTAAAGGTTTAAGTTGTTGACATGTTTTTTGATCAACTCGTTCCCCTCATAATTGAGGAATAAATTCCCTTTAAAACGGATTACAGCATTGGAGTCAAAATTTCACTTTTAGATTAAAGATCGAGATTTTCTGACGGCTGGTAGCCTCATTTAAAGTAACGGATATTTAATACTGACACACCGTGAAAGCCAAAGGCAAAAGCTATCGCGCGCGAAATACGAAACCTTAAATAAGCGGCTGGCTTCAATTGTTTATACAAATGTGCAAGGTATTGTTTTTCTTTTTCCAGGAACATTTCTCGTTCAGAAACAGCGCATTTGATTTTTTTTCTTGAGAGTTTCAAACTCAATTACCTCTTCTTGACGTCTAATACTTGCGATGAATATTTCGTTGTGCGAACACAAATCAGGTCAGATGCCTTAGACTTTTGATGCGCGGTTTCCAGTTTCGGTCAGTTCTTTATAGCGAGCGGTGTGCGTACGAACCACGAAAGGGGGCAAAGTCCAATAATTTCAGGTGCCAGCTGTGTGACTGTGCATCTCATGCAGATTGGTTTTTCACAATAACAATAGTAACTTGAACGTATGAAGACCTGTTTCGTTTTGTAACCAGTGCCTGAAAAAAGGCTCTTGTCTTTTAAGAAGCAATAGCTTTTAAAACATGGAGAAATAGGTAATCGGAGTTAAAGACTGTTTCACTGAGTAGAATTGCACGTGAAAACCTCGTGAATTATGATGATGCAACCATCTACCACAAGGATGAAAATCCTGGTATTTCGTAACTATTCGGTATTCGATGCATGGGTCGATCACATTTTGGCTTAAGAGCCATTTTCTGAGAAAATCGAGAATCGCAAGACACTCGTCAAAAAATCGAATTTTTTTTTATTTTGCCAAAACATCCCTTTTAGTGACCTAATTTAAGGAAAAATAGTTTTGGGTTCAAACGATTCATTTTAAAGGAGAAATTAAAAAAAGTTTGAAAAATCGATTTTATTCCTGTTTTTGGAACAAAACACGGCAGGATGCAATGGCAACTTCGAGAGAAGGGTGAACGCGTAAGAAACATTCCCTGACATTGAAACTTCACCGAATTATTATTTTGTTCTTACTCTTGAAAACCTTAAAAGAAAATTTGAAAAACAATGTCTTGTATTTTTATAATCGACAAGTGTAAAGAGGTCATATTTGTGACGTTAGACATGCTAGAAAACGAAGGCCAACTTTGACTATTAAAAAAGGCCTCTGGTATATGCCGCTTGATCATAAAATCAATATAAAATGGAACCTTGGCTTTTGTACTAACTTACTTGAAAGTTTTAGCTCTGGAAATCAAATACCATCCTGACACCAAAGCAAGCGGTGAGAGCAATTGAATTGGGAAATTTATGCAAATTAGACGGCTTGCGGACGGTTGTCAAACTAAAAGAAAGGTTTTACGTGAAAGCATTACTCACCATTGCTTGTAACACGTTTTTACGGCAAGGAAAGTTATTTCCAACTTCTGTTGCGTCGGTTTGAGTCACAAAATCCATAATTTTAAGCCAAAAGGTCCAAAAGACAAACGTACGTTTGCTCAGCGACTGCGCCAGAATCCGGCCGTGAATCGAAATGAAGTCACAGCACGTCACTGCGGTCCTTTAGAAGCAAGAGTTGCAAGAGTTTTTACTTCAGTCAGGAGGCCAAAAGATTGAAAATTCATCGCAAACTCGTCGCAAACTAATGAATTCGATTTTGAAAACCTTTCATCACTTCAATCGTTCGCCGGCTGATAATAAACATCGCACAAGATCGTATGACCTTTGGCGTGTGACCGGAAATCGATCACACGCTTAAGTCACGTTAGCATACTGTCACGAATTTTAATACGATTTTTCACGTTTGCTTTCGACAAAAAATAGACTCATCGAAATAAAATCAGGCCTGCTTTATTTATTTATTTATTTTTTAATTTCTTTTATAGCCTGCAGAACTTGTTCCCCATGCATCGCGCGTGTCTCGCGCCCCGAGTCCGCTTCGCAGTGCTAGCGTGGAAGGCGCAAAAAACTGAAATTGACTCCTGTTCTGCAGTTGACACCTTCTAGGCATTGACAGGCTGTGAAGAAAGTGTATTTTTTTATTATTATTTACATCATTTTCCTATAAATTTCAAACGTGACTGCTTAAAGACTGTTTGGAACCCATGGATGGAGAAAAGCTGTGCCGGAGAGAAGGTCAACCTCCCAGCCGAGCCAACTTTTGCGAGCGTTTATATGAGGAAAAAACTGACCACTTTGTCCGAGTCAACAGTGCTTGCGCATGCTGTCTTTGTCTAGCCTTGACCGTGTTGTCCCAGCTAGCTGGGCGAGCCAAAGTGGAGAAATATTAGCCGGGCTAGAAGGGTGAGGCCACCACTATCGGCTCAGTGGAGGGCTGACTTCCAGAAGCCCTCAACCCCGCCCACTACTGGTAGTAAGGTGTCTATCCGAACCAACCTTTTGTTTCTCATGTAAATGGTTTACCAAGTTTTGTAAGGAAATGGAGCAAACGTTGGCTCGCCCAGGGTAGCTTGGGAGGTGAGTAAACACCAGATAACCCCAATAATAAGCACAAACTTTGATTGTCAGTTAGATGTCCACTATTTTAAGTAAGCGACCTGGCATGTGATTGTCGCATCCATGCCCCCTTGCAGATCCCCTTTATTATCGGTAAGCCTCTGATAGGTCAAAGTAATACAGTCGTACCTCCAGTAAGCGAACACCAAAAATGCAAAGACTTGGTGGTCCCTAACGGGAGGTGGTCGTTTAGAAGAATCGGACCACATGGGGTCTATTCCGAGAAGAGGTCCAGGCACATTCTATTAAATGGCGGTGTAACAAATTCCTGGCAAAATATTATCTTTTACCTCTTTTGACAAGGTGAGTGAGATATAGAATAGTCTAGAATCACAACAGAATCTTCACTTTGTTGCTTACATCTACTAAGTTCGGATATGTGTAGTTCCACGATGTCACTAAAGGTCTTCATATTTTCTAAGGAACATAGTGCACACAGCAAAAATAGAGAGCAGAGAATGCGTCAACTGGTCGCTTATGGAAAACAATTAACCGTGACGCCCAAAAAGTGGTCGCAGTCTCTTACAGAAGGTGGTCGTTTACTGGAGGTTCCAACTGTAAGGCTTTGACTGGGAAAATTTGGTCTTTTGGATTGGCGGTCGCACATGGAGGTTCGACTGTGTTAGGTCTATTAGAGTATAAGCCACCATCACCTCACTGTGAGTGACGAGAGCCAGGAAAGTATAGTATACACTCCCTTAGGATACACAGAATCGTTGTTTTGAGGTCCCGTTTAGCGAAATGGATCATTCAAGGGAGGTGCTGAAGTCCCATAGTGAAATTTATAAGGTTTATGGGTTTTTAGTGCAAGACGAAACACAATACTTAGGGCCCTGTTGTTCAAACGTTGAACAACATGAAATCACTATCAAGCGAATAAGAAGAAGCAATTGCGTTACTTATTGGATATAGATTTATCCAGGGGAAAGCGTTAGTCCCGGGGGCGTTAGTCAACTTTTCGAACATACAGCCCCTCAGTCACTCTCCTCCGCAGACTTACCCTGGGCGACCAGGATAGGGGAATATAATATTCGACCTTCCTTGTATCATCGCGAGAGCCTATAGCCTTCACTTTCTTTTGGCTTGTCCTACAATCCTACCCAACGTTCGTGGGACAGGAAGGTCTGCTTGCGAGGCTTAGGAATCTAAAGAGACTATGGTAGCATGGTGCAAATAGCCGGGATGAGCTACTTTGTCCACACGAACCAAGAGGATTGGGTATGCTAGAAGAAATCAGGTGTAGCTTTCTGTGATAAGTAATATTCCAACAGTATAGAATCATAGTTTGAAGCCATTTCACAATCACTAGTTTCCGCGCACCTCTAACGGCGAGTTGTGGACAAAAGCAGCTGATAGCTGTATGCGAACCTTTTTTCCACAAAATGGTTTCTGGGTTTTCGTATTCGACAGTGTCATGTATTGATTTTTTTTAATCTTAGTCGAGGTCTTTTTAATTATGTACTGTCTATCTGACTGACTGTTTCTTTGTGTTTTTTTCTGGTAATAACAGGTTTCATAATTTGGTCGTGGTTGGGGTTATAGGCTCCTGATCGTGATCAAATAGCGAAAAAATCAACAAGCAAAACCAAAGTAAACTATAGCGTTGAATCCGTCGGCCTCGGAGAATTGGTATTATTCTGCAAGTTCTTTACTACAGCAAGAGAGTATACTCCCTTGACTATGGGACGTTGGGCCGGGGGAACTTAGTATTTTGACCCGGCATAGGGGAGGAGGAGAGGGGGAGGGGGTACTCTGGCCAGATTCCAAGTCACGGGGATGATCGAAGTATGTTTTTTTCTTGGTTTGAAAATATTTTGAACAAATTTTTTTTTTTAGCTGTGGCTTTACTTAAGTATTCAAAATATTCGTTCTTTTTTGGTCTTAATTTTCGCTTCCACGGATCACTCACGACACTTGGAATCCGAGGTACCCCTCCTGTTTAGTACTTCGAGGGCAAAAAAGCTGTTTCAAAGCCTAGTAGGTAAATAAAAGAAAAATAAATATGCATGGCTGTTTCTACTGCGATGAGAGGATTTCTTGTCAAAAAATGTCAAAACTGTATTAAAATTGCTGACAACAGCTACGAAAATTTCGTGACAGCATGCTGACGTGACTAAAGCGTGTGACCAATTTCCGGTCACACCAAAGGTCATACGATCTTATGCTATGTTTATTATCAGCCGACGAACGATTGAAGTGATGAAAGGTTTTCAAAATCGAAGTCATTAGTTTGCGATGAATTTTTATTCCTTTTGCCTCATGACTGAAGTAAAAACTCTTGTAACTCTTGCTTCGACGTGTTGTGACTTTATTTCGATTCACGGCCGGATTCGGACGCAGTTGCTGAGCAAACGTACGTTTGTCTTTTGGCTAAAAATTATATATTTTGTGACTAAAAACGACGCAAAAGAGGTTGGGAAAAACTTTCCTTGCCGTAAAAACGTGTTACAAGCAATGGTGAGTAATCCTTTCATGTAAAACCTTTCTTTTAGTTTGACAACCGTCCGCAAGCCGTCTAATTTGCATAAATTTCCCAATTCAATTACTCTCACCGCTTACTTTGGTGTCAGGATGATATTTGATTTCCAGAGCTAAAACTTTCCAGTAAGTTAATACAAAAGCCAAGGTTCCATTTTATATTGATTTTATGATCAAGCGGCATATACCAGAGGCCTTTTTTAATAGTCAAAGTTGGCCTTCATTTTCTAGCACGTCTAACGTCACAAATATGACCTCTTTACACTTGTCGATTATAAAAATGTAAAGCATTGTTTATCAAATTTTCTTTTAGGATTTTCAAGAGTAAGAACAAAATAATAATTCGGTGAAGTTTCAATGTCAGGGAATGTTTCTTACGCGTTCACCCTTCTCTCGAAGTTGCCATTGCATCTTGCCGTGTTTTGTGCGAAAAACGAACATAAAATCGATTTTTCAAACTTTTCCTAATTTCTCCTTTAAAATGAATCGTTTGAACCCAAAACTGTTTTTCCTTAAATTAAGTCACTAAAAGGGATGTTTTGGCAAAATAAAAAAAAATTCGATTTTTTGACGAGTGTCTTGCGATTCTCGATTTTCTCAGATAATGGCTCTTAAGAAACTACGAGGAAACCTTAGAGTTTTCCTTCTAATCAACGTTTGGTGGGTAGATATTTATTTTACCTTAACAATTTGTTAAACTTGCACCAGATGTAACAGGGAAAGACAGAGAAAAGTGAATATATAGCATGAGGATCGACTCAGCTGAGCGTTTCGCGTTTTCATTTATGTACCGCAATATCCAATTTCGCACAAAAACCCAATCTACATTTGGGACGAAAAAGGTAGATTCATCCTTGGTAAGGTTATACTGAAGCATTAAAGTTACACTGAAGCATTAAAAATAGCTCATGCACGTTTAACGTGCCTATGTTTTATAACAGCCGCTGATGAAGACTAGTTTTGTCTAGCAAAAATATTGGGCAAATAAATTTGTAACCCTTAGCTGTCCGATCAGCATGGCCTTCAATTTTAAGTGTCATTTACAAAAGTTTGTCGGCTGTTTATATACTGATGTAGCGAAGATCACAATAACCAATTTTAATCTAGTTGGAACCGCTTTCTCCGCTGAACTCTCGCAAGCCAGGACCATCTTGCTCGTCGGCAGCTACTCTGGCCAGTTATTTTTCAGTATAAATCTTTTGACTCGTCGACGAAAGTTTGCACGTCATATCGCTTGCTGTGAGTGATCGGCAGTGAAAGGAATTTCCCACCAATTTTAGAATTACATGACGCCACTCTAACCAACCAATAAGGTGGCGTCCTAAAAATAACCAAGCAGTATGACACAGAACCAAGAATAGATTGACGTAAAATATTTTTCATGGGAAGAGGGTTGTGTATGGGGCTCGATCCCTTAGCTCATTCTCTCTTGAAAAAATGCGAAGGAAAATGAAAAACTGTTTAGCTAAGAATAGGATTTTCCTACTGCATAGGTTTGCCACAAATTTCGAGAGGACTGCCCTGCAAACCTTATTTTCACCATTTCCACATACACCATAATTCACCTAGTTTACCCCTCAAAATTTTATAAAACCATTGTCTTAGAATTTTCTTGGGACGACCATGAAATCCAGGAGAAACTGAAGAAAATGGTTATGCAAAGTTTTAGGGGGTAAACCAGGTGCATTATGGTCTATGTGACAATGGTCAATTGCAGCATTGTTGGGTAGAGGTCCTACATATTGCTGGTTTTCACGTGATGCCATCAAACCTAACAACTATGACTTCTAAATTTTTACTTTCAGTTCATGAGGACTTAGAGCCCCCAGACACTTAAATTTCAACAAATTCGTAGTTCGAAAGGGTTTTTTGTTTTGAGATAGAGCATACTTTGCGTGACGCAGCATCTAAATGGAGGCAGAGAGAAAAGTGACTTATATACTTTCTGGGATCAGTCTACTCTCCGAACTGTCCTAGCTTGTGTTAGAATAAGAATCACTTTAATCTTTATGAGTTTCTCGAGTAGCGAGAAAGATTTTTCCGCTGTTTTCCGGCTGGTGTCAACATGGCGTCTCCATAGAAAGTTCATTTGAATTGGGATATTGGGTAAAACATTTCTCGGAGTATTTCACAGACAAACCAAAGTAAAAAATAGAACTGAATCCTGTTCGCACATAAATTTCTTCCCTCGCCAGATTCTGGTCTTAATCTCTTGAATGGTTTCGTTTATTATTTTTGATGGCGTGTGTAGTGTCGGGTCTCAAAGGGTCGTTTATATGAGAGAAAATAAGCCGCGAACAGCCCGTATAAATGGTACTAAATCTATGTTCACGGCATATTCAACCCAAGGCCAGCTCAAGCCGAGGCTTATCCTGGCCGAGGGGTTTTGGTATGGGCTTATCCAAGCCGCGGCTCACCTTGGACGTGAAAGTGTTCGTATAAATGCACTCAAACGTTGTCCGCGGCTTGCTGAAGCCTTGAACGACTGCTGCGCATGCTCTGTTTTCAATTATATCCCAGACCTTCACGTCCGGGAAACGCGCGTTGCAGTGGCGGGAAAATGAGTTTTGATTACATTTACAAATAAAAGTGGAAAATGGTGGATAGAGATTCATGTAAAAAAAGAAATGTGTGGAGTGCCCCAGAAAAAAAACAAATCCTGCTAATATGCAGCGAGCTTGAGATTGCGGGGCAGCTCGATGTCTACGTTACCTCGGCAAGCGTAAGTTCTCCGATTTTAATTTTAAATCTACGGTTATTAAAAGTACAACCTGGCCGCGAACAAAGCCGTGAACCATTTTTACGAGCAGTTCGCGTCTAATCTAAGCCGTGCTCGTATGAATGGTTCCTTTCGAGTTATATGTAAGCCGCGGCTTATTTTCTCACGTATAAACGGCCCTAATGTAGGATAATTAGATGCAAAATGAGTTTAACACTGGAGGCAAAAAGGGACTTGATTTGCATATAAGACAAGGGTGAACAGATTAGTAGGAGGACTATAGCGTGACATTGAAAACCAGGCAATTAATGGTTTACCGATATGGAGGTTAAGATAGGTAGCCTTCGTGGCATAACGAAATTAAAAAAAATAAATATTCCTTACACCTTAAGTATCACCTATCAAAAAATAAAAATAAAGTGACATACCGATCCACTCAAGACCCATAAACCTTGTTGCAAAGGAATGTTGCATCGAGTTCAGAAATACAAAAACCAGGAAAACCATGTACCAAGTACTGTGGTTGATAAACTTGGAGAAGGGATGCTCGTAGATCTCCCTTAAGTTCCACCAGCACCCGTCACCTTCGTCAAAACAAGGAGACTTTCGCAAAAGTCGAAGTGGAATGTAAACAAAACATGAGATAGCGACCATGAGGAGTTGAACAATGGACCATGCAAATTTGGTTACTCTCCCCACATCCTGCCAATGTGGCCATTGATAGTAAATGATCTCATCGAGAATTCGCTGACATTTGGGACTCGCCACAAACTGAGAATAGAAAGGCAATAGATATATTTAGCTTGAATGTTTTGTTTCTCAATTCAGAGCACGCGATGGTGCCCCAGAGAATAGTCTGAAATGTCATACGTCTCCACCCCTAACCCGTGGGGGTTGCGGGTGAAGAGAGACCCACCTATGGGTTAGTGGGTGGAGACATATAACATTTCAGACTACCCAGGGAACTGTTTCTCTCAAATGTCGTCCTCCGCACGTACATCCACGTACATATTTATGCATATTTTATGACAAGACAAAAGGCAAATTCCCTGGAGAAAATCACGTGGTCTGAATAAAGAAAACAAAATATGAAAGCTAAAAAGGGCTATTCAAATAATGTTCGACCATTTCCTTTACAATGTTTGTTTCATAATTGTTAAAACTGTTTATCTTAATTTCCTGAAACTGTTTTGTCTAGTTGTTGCTGTTACCTCACTATTCCCTAAATTCATCATTACGACACGGCTACCACAGTGGCACAATGATAGAAGTAAAAATTTGACAAAGATTTTGTTGAAATCGAGTTGTCATGGTAGCGTAGTGAGGTCAATAGACTTTTTTTACTCAGTGCAGGCGATCACTCCAGTGGGCTTTTACCACCAATAGTCTTCTCGATGTTTGCAAACTCAATCAAATAATTGCTATGAGAGAATTAGCAATAATAGTGTGAGGGCTTAATGCGGCAGAAAAGAGGACTGTTTTCAAGTGAACCATGCACTTTGGTATATCGTCTTTTTAATCGCCCATTTAACCTAGGACGCACTTGTAATAGTGGGGAAAGTTCTCTTGCAATTGTCGGCTTTTTTGCAAAGCGACGCTACCAATTCAACGCTAGTTACCCTAATTTATTCATAGTTTAAGGTGACTCGACCCAGTTATTTTGTGAGGGTACCATCCTACTTTGAAGCTCTTTGGTATCCCTACCCTTACTTTGATCGTAAGTCTAACATATAGCACGGATAACATATAAATCAATCTACAATATAGCATAAAATATTTGGCGATTCGAGTAAATGTCACGTAGTTATAGTGCCATACCTCTTTGGGGTCTGAGTCAAAATTCTGCTGTTGTCGGCATTTTTTCGTGAAAATCTCTCGGCTACATATAGTGCTCACTAGTGCCTTCCGTTGAACAGAGTTTCACCAAAATCGCAAGGACCCAATGCGAGAAATTCAGTGGTTTCCAAATTTAGGTCATAAAGTGAATAATGAATAAACTATGAGATTTATACCTTTATTTTGGGGATCTTTATAACAGATGGGTCTTTGCAAGTCAGCAAAAAGCTTTCGGGCCTTGTAAATGCGCGCGATTTCGAGCAATGCAAACATATTGCTGGTTTTCAGTGTCACGCCATTCAAAATAGATAAAAAAATCAAAACCGTTCAATAGATAAAGTCCAGAATCTGGGAAATGAAAGGAGGTAAATATGCAAAACTCTCGCCAAGATTCAGGTCAGAGGAATATTTCATATACGAGATATAGAAAGAAAAACGTTTTAACCAAATGTATGGAGACGCCATGCTGGTGCCCATCCGGATGAGTTCCAACATGGCGAACGGAAACCAACAGAAACATCTGTTAACGAGTTTTGCTACAAAAGCGTGAATTTATTCTTCGAGGAACTCATAAATATTAAAGTAATACTTTTTCTAATACATGAACTGTTTAGATGGCAAAATTCCCCGAAATAGGTCATTTTTTTAACGTACAATGACAGCTCTCTTGGCCGTCATGTAAATACCGCGTCACTCAAAAGCTTAGAAATTCAAGCGTACTCTATCACAAAACCAAGAACCCTTTTGAAGCGAAAATTTTTATGAAAATTAGTTTTCAGCTGCTGCAATACATCGTGAAAGTAAAATCTCGGTATGATCGTTAGTTTTCTAGTTTGAATTTTAGTGACGTCATGTGACATCTTCTGCAAGCCCAAACTTGAGTAAACATTGAAGATTTTTAGCGTTTTGGCAGAGTTTGTGCTTTGGGAGTTTTCTATTGTTTCTAGTCTGTCATGATACAGCATTCTTGTTCAACACGCTCGCAATGACCGCGCTTGGCTGACTTCTGAATGCTCAACGAGATATTCCAAGCTTAGAAATATTATGCAAACGTACTCTATAACAATGCAAAGAGCCCTTTGTATTGTTGCCGTCATGTGAAAACCAGCAGTTACATTTCTAAACTCCAAAGTTGTCTAGTGAAAGTGTCCTAGGAATCTGCGACAACAAAAGTAAAATAAAAACTAGGAAGCGCAAACGAACGTTGAATTTTGGAGGGTATATAATTAATAACGCCATACATACCCTCTTTCTTTCTTTATCAGCAGCAGTCGTGAGTAGACTCAGACTCTGGTTAAAATCACCGGGCTTATTCGTTAGGAGACATCCAGTTCCCTTGTCATCCATTATCTCAAGGAGTTGGTCCCAAGTACTTCCTTCAACAACGTCAGTGGCAAATTTTTCATACACTTCTGCTCGCCTTGTGTACTCGTCTCGGCTGTAATGATGCTCGTACAGGGCAATTTTCTCCAGGAGATTAGCATCGTGCAGTGCAGCTTCGATGACGTCTTCAGACTTTCTTGAGTCTTCTTTCTTTGTTCCCTCTTGATCAGAAGAGGTCAGTGATCCACCGTTTGGGTTGTTCCTCCATAACCAATTCAAGCAGATATACAGTGGATCGGAAAGTATGTTTATCCACTGTTGTTCCTCTTCGCGTTCCCGTTTTGTTTGGTAATTTTCTCCTTCCCGTTCACGTCCGCTTCGGCCACAACCACATGGATCGTTGCATCTTATTTGGCTCTTAAGTTTGCCCAGCATGCAGCTGAAAAGACCAGCTTCCCTCAGACGCTCGTGTTCTGCAACAGTTTCGCAGATACTGTTAAGCGTTTCTAGAGTCTTTATCTCTTTTTCTTTACCTTTTACAATAAGGTTCCATACCTCACCAGTGTTTTTTTCTGCGAGAGCTTTAAGAAGCTTCTGTCTGTAAGATGTTTTATCACCCACATCTTGCTTTCCATTTTCGTTTATTTCTGTAACGGCGGTGTCTGTACTTTTTAGGTGTGACAAAAGCTTTCTCACTTGCTCTACAGTCCCCTTCCTTACTGCGTTAAAAAACTCGACATGCGTTGAGTCGCTGTTTTTATGTTGTTGTTCGTTTTGATCAACGGTGGAAGCTTCCTCCATGTCTCTCTTTTAACGAAGCGTGCTGTTAGTATAGACAACTCGGTTTTCCCAGTTTTGGGTTGGAGTTCAGTTATTTATCAGGATTTGAAGTCAATTCTTAGATAATCTGCTTTTCTTGGAAAGGAAGTAGGAGTTGACGTGTTATCTGATCACCCGAAAAACACTTCACTGACAGTTATTTACATCTCAAATCAATTATACTGAATTATTTACATCTCAAATCAATTATAATAACTGAAACGTCGCAAACCCTTTCATGGAAAAAAGGTCATGCATGGAAAAGGGCAAAAATGCGGTCGAGTTCGTTTTGAGAGAGAATGGCAGCTTTTCAATTTGAGCAGCTAGGAGGAACTATTTAATGTTGTCCGCCATTCTTCGGCGAATTAACTATGCTTACCGCTAGAAGCTCACCGACGTCTACGCTAAACAAGAGATTGTGAACGATTTTTTGATTGTTTAGATTTCGTCAAAATGTCAAGAATTCTATTATTGATGATAATAATAGTGTCATTTATTAATTCCTGACGTTTTATGATTGTATTACCTTTAACTACTACTATTTAATTAATGAAGTAATACTTTTTGTCTAAACCAACTATTTTGTCATTATATTTTTTAAAATTCCTTCTGTTCGTATTCTTCTTTTGGTTCACGGGTCTACTCGGTTAGTTCTACGAACTATTTAGGTGTCCCACTGACTCTGTCCGCACAATTATCAACCTAAAATTGAAATAATTTCATATCCTTTCTCACATCTTTTTTATTATTTCATGTTTTTTTATTTAATTGTAAATAGTACTAATATTCTGTGTGAGTTATTCTGTGTGATATAGCCTACGAGCAGCCTCACTTATGCGCGCGAGGGAGAAAAAGCTTAAAGGAGCTGTGTCACGACATTCAGCCAAATTACGGTATTACAAAATGCTTAAATCCAAGAGAAACAAATATAACCGCTTAAAGGAAGGTTAATATAACACAACAGATACAAAAGATGGCGCTGATGGGAAAAACTGAAGAAGATTGAAACGAATTGAAATTAGGGTTTTTGCCAGGAGAGGGGGGGGGTGCTCCCTCAAAAGGGCTTAATGGGACGCCGCAGACAGGGTGTGTTTTTCGGTATTTTTGTCTTAAACAGGGTATCGATGTTATCATTTTTTGTCTTAATCAGGGTATCGATTTTATCAATTTTTGTCTTAAACAGGGTATCTTTTCTTGGACGATAAACAGCCTGCGTGTATTTTCTACGAACTAAACTGCAGCAAAATTTTTATTTATTATTGTCTCACAAAGGGTATGGTTTCGGGTTAAATGTCTTAAACAGGGTATGAAAAATTGGAATTCTGTCTTAAACAGGGTAGGAAAATCAGTGATTTTTGTCTTAAACAGGGGCCGGGCCGCACCTTCCCACCCAAGGTTATATCGAGTACCCCCCGGGGGTTTGAAAACTGTTCAGCCTAACAGTTTTTCAAAGTTTATCTCTGCTGTTTGCAACTTCAAAAATAATGCTCAGGAGACATGTTTGTTTGTCTCGAACCTCTGACTTTGTTATTTACAGGTAATTTCTTGCCTTAGTTTAAACTTCCATAGCGATTGAGGGCGAGGAATTGGCAAAATTAAACAAAATGAACTGGACTGCCGTGACACGCTCCCTTTAAGCCGCCTCCTAGCAAAAAAAAAAACAACAGACAGAGAAATTATTTCCTTGCAAAAATTATCTCCAAAATTTTTCCGCGAAATCGCACATGTGAGCCTGCTCGTAGGCTAGTTTTTAAAATGCCAAAGTAAGCACCCGGATTAAATTCCGCAAGCAGAATACTGCAACGCTGATCGTACTACGTGAAAATTAACTCTGCAAGACATCAACACGACCCCAAAAGAACTCAAAACAGAGCGGGCTTGTAGCCATAGACAGCTGTTTCGCCCTTTTTGGGCTCGTCAGTATGGCGCAACAACCAGAGGAAACTTTGGTGAAAAAGATCCGCGCACTCTGATTTTAAGCAGAACTCTCAACACCCAAAGAATCACGCCATACCACGTGCCTTCTGGAGGGCAAGAGTCCAAGTGTCAAGTTGATGTCTCGCAGAGAAAATAAAGAATTGGCCAAAACCAACCAAAAAAACATGGACAGGACCAGGCAAGAATTACAGCATATCGGATCTATAAAAGGTCTACGGCCCAAAAATTCATGAAGTATACAAACATAAACCATAAAGGACTGCAAAGGACCGCAAACGGATATGCCGAAGAACGTAGGATCTATAAAGACCTGATCAACAAAAGTAGTGGTGTAGACATATTAAATTCTCGGATTAAATTCTGCAATGCTGAAAGTAAACACGCTGTAAACAGTTAAAGCGAATAATCTTCCTGTTTCGCTGGCATGGTGCGTGCGAAATGCCACACGTGTACGCGCGCACACACACTCCATACGCACGTGCTCGATTGAACTACCCAGACGACCTATTTAACATTCATAACTGAATAAAGGACTGAATCGTACCTTTCGCCGTGAAAAGTGTTGCTTTCGATCGGAGAAAATAAGGATCCGAAAGGTTGACTTACAAGAGTGGCTTCAAAAGGGAGCATTTCGCAGCTGTATTACACACGCCACCGGATACAAGTTATCGGTTCTTTCAGATCGCAAAACTTTCATCGAACATTTGTTACATTTGTTTATGTGTTCTTATAATGACATTAAGCTGTACTTGTATTTGTAAGTTTCGAAGAGCAGTTCCCATATATTCCTTAAAGTATACTGGTATTTATTGAGGGTCATATTGAAAAGTACTTGGCTAGCTGAATGCAACTGAGATAAAAGGGTGTGTATTTTTTATTATTAATTTCCGTAAATTCGCGAAAAAAAATTAAAACAAAAAAAAAATAACAAGATTAAGATTTTCAAAAAAGAAAATATGAATATTTTGCTGTAATCTTTGTTTGTATTTTCTTCGTACTATATCTTCACAGTTCATGTGCAAGGTAATGATCCATCAGGGATGATCACCAGCGAAATCTTGGTCAAGATGTATATAGTTGTATTGTGTATCATTTGATCATTTTCTAAGAAACTGCAAATCCACATGAAGAGAAATTCAATGAGATTAAAAAGAGGAAGGTGTTTCCGGAATGGCATTTGGTATGACATACGGAATTTAGTCCATCAGCTGAGACCCGAAAATTTGGGTTTATGGCTCACTTAAGGGGAACAGCTGAAACATGTCTAATCTTAACACAAAAATGCATGATAGCAGGGATAAAACGGTAGCTTTCACTCTGTAAATCGAAATATAAATTATCCCCTCATAATCTCCTTTTGGCCGCCATCTTGTATTTTGAGAAAGCCTACAAAAGTTGCTCATGTTTTTTTAGCGTAAACAAATCGTGTTTGAAACTTAAATTTAAACATATTGGAGTTAAAGTCATGACTTCTGTTTATTCTAGTGCCTAAATTATAACCACCTGACGCCCCATGTTAATCAAAATCGCCTGTTATTAGTCACGCATGCAATAAGACCAGCAGTTTGCACTTTGTTTATTGACTATTGAAAAATTGTGAGACTTACATTAAATTTCTTCAGAAAATAGTAAGTTATTAAATCGTATGTGTACGTTGTAGGTGTGCTGAATAGAGTCCCCATCGAAAACAGTTTCTTGCTGGATAACCTTATATTGTGCTTCCATGTTCCCGAATCAGCCGCGTTGAGCTGAATTTGAATTCCCCGCACATCTCATCAAATATCAATGCAACGACCGAACTGTCTACGTTCACCAAGAAGAGAGATTTGCAACTCGCTAAGCTTGTCCACACAGAAGTAAGTGATGACTTACTGCTCGCCAGAGCAAGTGAAAGCAGCCAGCGAATGACTTTATGAGCCTTTACTCACTCCAATTCCACTTGAGATTACCTTGATCCAGTGAACACAGCCAACAAGCTCATGGCTGTAGTAAGGTTCGCGACAATGATCTAGTATTTCCTCTTGGTATGGATGGCGATTTTTTGCCCCAATGCTACTTCTCAGAAAGTTTCATCATAATGACAAAATGTGTTTTCACCCTAAAACCAACTTTAAGAGTCCTACAGCTCTTCCTTGGACTATTAACTATCCTAAAGGACTCCCGCGAAAGACAAGCAAATCCAGACTTTTCCAGCAGCTAGAGTGACGCATCACAATCACCACGAAATACCCAGAGAACGTAACAAGCAGTTGCGATGAAATGACAATCTTGCAGAAGTTGTAGATTTCTTCTGGAGCTGTCCCATTTAGTCGTTTAGAGGGTTTGAAATGGTAACAAGCACCGGCAGCAGGCGCGGAGATGACGTGTAGCGCGAGATGTTGATAAAAAAAAGTCAAAAAGACTGAAAATTTTGCCTACCTCATACAGTTTACAATATAAGAACTTTCTGCAGAGGATACTGACACCAGAAAACTGATCGATTTACTGGAGTCATATGGACTTCAACAGCATGTTACAAGTCCCACTCATAAACATGACCACACCCTTGACTTGATCATCACACGTCAATCTGATCAGTTATTAGGGAATACACCGCGTATTAGTCGGTACATTTCTGACCATGCAACTGTCCTTTGTTCTATCCGCTGTGATAAGCCACCACTTTCTGTGCGGAAAGTTTCTTACCGAAAATTGAACTCAGTCAACGTAGTCTCCTTGAATGAGGACTTGGCTACTTCTGAATTGTGCCAGAATCCATCTGATGATTTACAGGAACTTGTTTCATCTTATAACAATACCCTCATGGCTGCTTTGGACAAGCACGCACCGTTAATGACAAGAACAATTGTTCAGAGACCTCGTGTTCCATGGTTCAGTCAGGTGATCAGGAAGGCGAAGCGTCAGCGAAGGAGGGCTGAAAAGAGGTGGAGGAAATCTCGATTGGAGTCCGATCTTGCTGCTTCTAAAGCAAAACGTAATTTTACTACCCGTCTTATGAACAAGGCTCGGAGGGAGTTTTACAGTAACTTTATAGATGAAAATAG